TCCTTATCAGTAATATCGGGTTGCGTTACACTAACCGGCGCGCTCATTATGGTCTGTTGAACCCAACTCCTTACGAAAGGTTCCACCTGAGTATTCCGCTCTTCATCATCTACACTCGAGTCGATCTCCTCTTCTCGGTTGAGTCGTGCCAACCCCAATTGAGACTTGGCTAAGGCAGCAGCTGCCTGTGCTCGTTCGAGCTCTGAGCGTTCGAATTTAATCCGCGCCTCTAATTCGGCTTTCAGCCTCGCCGATCGCGATGACCTACTACCTCTCTGTGACTCTTTGTCACTAGTGTGCCCGATTACTGTCCTCGACGATGCCGCTTCTTCGGTCCTTTGACCTACTTTTTCGACTACCGATTCACTCGTGGATATAACGGATTGTTATGCGGTGCTGGCCTGCGTACCACTGGTGTCCGTCCTGTTGCTTGTCGTTGCCATGGACGCCTCTGAGTCCCACGTGCATGTGGACGTATCGGTGGTGGCTCCACTTGAAGAAGTTGCCCCACTCGAAGCAGTAGCTGTGGTCGCTCCAGATGGTTCCGCCTCTTTAGCTTTTCTTGAGGGCCCTGTCCTTGTCTTGGTTCCTTCGCTTCTCCCTGTCTGGTCTTGTGCCTTCTTCATCTTGCAGGAAGGTGATTGTTGGCCTACAGTCCCTAACTGTCTCTACGGTCCCTACAACCCTTTACCTACAACCCTTCTACACCCCAACCTAACCTCACTACCCCTCCCCCCTTTATCTCCCAACCCTACAACCTTACTACCACCCTAACAGCCCTATCAGTTCTATCAATCCTGAACGGGGCCTACTGAGGAGAGCCGTCCAGGGATGGAGTCGTGCAGGAATGGAATGGAGGAAAGGTTTAGGAACTGTCCCGCCAAGGAATATGACGAAACAGTCGAGCGGTAGTGCAAGCGCAGTTTCGCTCGAGAGAACTGCTCCACCCGAAGGTTTTGTGCAAGAGCCCGACCGTTTGGCACCGTTAGGCGGTCAGAATGTATGCTGCTCTTCGTCGCCCAGTCGCCGGTGACGCCTCGTCCAGGCGCCCTCTTCCGGCCGCGATGCAGTCAGGTGCCCACGAGCACCCTCGCCTGGCAGCAGCAGCAGTGGATGCTTCTTCTTCTTGCACCCTCTGATGACCCGACAGGAAATCTCGGACACGGTCGTCCGACAGGAAATGCCGGACACGGTCGTCAGACAGGAAATGCCGGACACGATCGTCCGACAGGAAAATGCCGAGCACGCTTGCCCGACAGGAAATGCCAAGCCCTGCTTGACCACGATGAGCGCCTTCACAAGGCACATGCGCCTGGCTGCGATACGTGCCCCATGCGAGCACACGCCCCAAGCCGCAATCCCGATTTTCTTTCTTCTGGTAGTTCCAGGTCCGGTCCTACTGCGCTGAGACCTGGTCTTCCGGCCTTTGGTCCTGTTGCTTCAGCTCAAACCTCCGGCTACCTTCGGTTGCTGATCTTCACTCAGCTCCGAAGGTCTTCTTTCTCCTTAACCAGCAGTCCACAGCTGGTTCCTTGATCCGGCTCGAAGGACCACTTGAAAAGGAACCAGACAAAACGTTAACTAAGAAACAGAAGGGGGGAATCGAGGCTTCTCTCGATCCGGCCTCCTATAACGCCTACGTTGGGTTCGGGAACAACGTATGTGATCTCCGCAACGGAGTAACACACAAGGGCGATAACCTCTACCTTTTCAGAAAATAGGTTCAGGCGGGGATTACGGGTCTTCCGAAGTCGTCCCGGTCCCAACGCCTTAATTCTTCGATGTGGACTGTATTATTTTGAGGGAAGAATTCCTTGGGAATAAAACAGCAATTATCTTCAAACCGTTCCGTGAGAGAGTAATTACTTTTCCCTATCACTTCCCTATACTTTTTCTTTCTTCTTCTTATTGACTGCTGGTCTTGCACTTTTCCCGAACTTTCCCGAAGGATTCCCGAACGAATTGCAAGAAAACTCGTTTACTGAGCTACCCCAGAGCTATACGTGAAAGTGAGCCGCGCCATTTTTGCGCTTGCGCAACTCAATTACATCAATTTGTACTATCACTCTCTCACGGTTTACTCAATAACTTTATTTGTATAAGACATACATTTATACAATTTACTTATAAAGATAGCACAAAAAATATCTATACTACGATATACATTACATTTTTATATCACAAAAAACCTTTTATTTATTTAACAAAATATGCTTATTTTACTCACATGTTCAAAGTTGAAATTTCTTAAATATTTAACATGTAACAAAGTTAAAACAATGTTTTCCACTTGAAATTATACGTATCTTAACCAATACAATAGTTTAATTTACATTTTCTCTATACATTTCACTATTAAAACACTTTTAAATTACTTATACAAAACTATCATTATTTCACTTATTCACAGGAATTTTCACATAAAAATAACACAGAATTCACCTCTTTTACACGTACAATCAATCTGAAATGTTTTACAAGTCATTTTTACATAAATTGCTGAAATTGCAAATATTTAAATTTCTACATATTTGGCCTCCTAAGTACGTGGCTAGCGTGCGTCTATGAACTCACACTATTTGAACAACTAACTTTTGCACGGCTATCGACTATCAGTAAAAATGGAAAGTCTTATACCAATATCAACAATACTAGGTGAATAAATGATTCTACTCAATTCTCAAACGCCGAAAACTACCTCTAATCAGATTCTTATCAGTTGTCATGTTTCTTATCAAACAATATAAGTGAATGTTTTCATAAATTAATCATAGAAAATAGGCATTTGTTTTCATACAAAACATATCAAACTTTCATAAGACAACACTTATGCAATTAATTTCCATTAATTCTACTTATGCACAGCGATCATCTCGATTCAACTAAGCATTTTCTTATAGGAATATTGTTGCTTGATAATTTGCGTTTTAGAAGCTATTCGTAATCGGTTAACTAATAAATTGAAATATTCTAGGCGCGTCGCCAACAATATATATATATATATATATATATATATAAAAATGTGTAAAAGTGTGTGTGTGTGTGTGTGTGTGTGTATGTGTGTGTGTGTGTGTGTGCGTGTTGAAAAATATTCAAAAACTAAAATATTTTTAAACAGTTTGTGCTAATACTAAAACTTATTATATCGCAGTATAAATTAAATACTCTGCTTACAAAATTATAAATTTAAACTAGGTACTTGGCAAATTATAATCGTGAAACTGGTAGATCAAAACATATTAATCATACATTTTTGTTGTAAAAAAAACAGTAACAGGATTATCAAATTGGATGCCGCAACTGCCGTTACATTTGAATATTTTTGTGTAAAGTACTGTTTGAGACTAAGTACATGTAATATAAATTCATATTCTCAATGCTTCTTTGTTTTCCTGGAGTCAATTTATGAATGCCATAATATTATTAATTTTAGAAATATAGAAGTCATATAATTATTAAAAGTTTTAAAACTGTTAGTAAATCGATAGTGCATTCCATTCATCAGCAATTAAGTCATTTAATAAATGCGTTGACATTAGTACTTTTTTAAATATAATGAAACACAGTAACATAATTCCCCTTTTTAAATTTTGTAATAAAAGTGGCTCAGTAATTTGAGACCTATATCTATACTATCAAAACTACGCAAATATATTAAAAAGTAATTTATAATTAGTTAACATGTCATTTATCGTTAAATAAATTATTTCATGTCGGTCAGTAGGGTTTCTCTAAAGGTCAAAATAAAATTGACCCAGGCATGGTACTTCTCAAACACATATTTGAAGCTGCGGAAAGTAAACGGGATGGTATAGGTATTTCTTGTGACTTAGGTAAATCAAGATTTGCTATTAAAATTAAATTAGACATTCAAATTCAAATTCAAATAGCCTTTATTTCTTATAATATATTACAATTTGGGGAATTATTATTATTGCAACATTTTAAAATTTATTGTACCTACTAAAAAAGTTTATAATAACAATTCAATTCAATCTTCGACATCGGTAACGTTATTATCAGCTTGCCATTTGGCATAGGCCTCCCCCTAGGGTTTTCTATATTTCCTTGTTTGCAGTTTCTCTTTGCCATGTTGTTGTGGCTATTTGCTTTATATCATCCTCCCATCTTAATTTCTGGCGCCCTTTCCGTCTTTTTCCATCTCTGGGGTACCATACAATAACATTTTTTGTCCATTTTTCCTTTCTGTTTCTTATCATATGGCCCGCCCACTTCCACTTAAGTTTTTTCACTGTGTATGCGACATCTGTAACTTTTGTCTTACTTCTTATATTTGTTACTTTGATTTTGTCCCGTAGCTTGCTGTTTAGAATGCTTCTTTCCATTCTGTTTTGACACACTGTTAGTGCTCTACTCTGCTTCTTAGTCAGGACCCAGGTTTGTGCTCCATAGGTTAGAAATGGTAGTATGCATGAGTTGAACACCGTAGTTTTGTCTGTTAGGTGTATGTGTGGGTTCTTCATAATTTCTTTTAGGGACCAAAATATTTTCCAAGCTTTACTTATTCTGACATTTATTTCTTTCTGCATCTGAGTCTCTGGTGCAATAATTTGTCCTAAATTTGTATATTCGTTGACATACTCTATTTGGTTAGAATTAAGAAAGATTGGTGTTTTTATATAATTTGTCATTACTTTTGTTTTACCTTGATTCATAGTCAACCCTACAATTTTACTTTCTTTTTCTAATTGGGTTAACATTATTTCTAAGCCTTCTTGATTTTCATTGAGCAGAATCAGGTCATCTGCGAATCTTAGGTGGTTAAGCATTTCACCATTTATATTTATTCCAAATTTATCCCAATTAATTCTCCTGAATATATGTTTTGATACTAGGGTCTCAAATAGTGCTTTGTAAAAGCCAATTTTAAATAATGATATTTGACCTTGAATTTGATACAGTTTTCATATTTGTTCAATATTATTAGCGTATTAAATTTATTGCTTTAACTTCTTCTTTAAACATTTCAAAATTTCCAGTTTCTCCAGAACATGAAGGAATACAGTTTAACTTAAATAATGAAACACAATTAAAAAGCAGTTTCAATATATCTGGCATTTTATCACAACATTTAAAATATTTAGATGACAAAACAAATCAAACAGTGCCATATTACTATGAACCAAATAATTTCAAAAAAGTACGAGCAGATCCAAATATTTTTGATGAAAATATAGGTTTTACTGTATTACGAAAGCAACGTTCTTTGAAGTCGGTTGAAACAGAAGATTTAAAGCAAACTAAAACAGAACCGCTTGGTGATAATATTAAAAATGATGTATCCAGTATAGTACCGTTAATACAATCAGATGCTTCCAAATACAATACAAAAACGTTGAGGAACGATTCAGTTAAAAAAATATCATATGAGCAGAGAGATGCATTAAATTCAAGTCATAGTAAAAGTTCTTCGGATTCCAGTGAACTTTTGCATGTTTTATCTGATTGGTTCTTGACCTTAGCCAAGCTCTCTGGAGAGTACAAAGATGATGTGCAAATACCCGGGTTAGTTCATCTTGATCTATTTTAGATGTATATTGATTTTTGATTTTGTCTTTCTTGCGAAGTTAATCCATTGATTAAATTTTTGTACATACTGCTATAAATTGAAAATAATATATAACTTTTTAAAAAAATGATTATGAATAAATCAATTCATTACAAAACTTAAACAATTAATCATTATTTTTTTAATAAAATTACTATAGGTACAATTTTACACCAAAATTTGACCAATCCACATCAATGCCTGAAAATATCACAAATGAAATTATGTACCCTATGTATGATGCTGATATGATAGAAAATATTGGTCACAGATCAAGAGTACTTATGTCTTTCGATGAAAATTATGTACACGTGTCTAATACATCAACGAATAAAACGACAGTGATGGAACAGAAAACATCAGAAATTACACAAGGCAATATAGGTATCATTTTAATACTAATATTACTATACAATTGTTATTTCGCTTAATAAATGTATAAGACACAACCTTCGGATATATTATATGATGCGATATAATTTTTTGAATGATTAAATTTACCACTATTATCATATTTCTTTATGTACTATTATTTAGCAATTCTATGTGAAGCTGTAAATAAGTTTACTATTCATTTCCTTCTGAAAGTGTCATGAAATTGAGCATAATCCTTATTTGTAATGATTTTTTATATTAACACGAACACTACACATCAAATGAAACTAAGTTTTACGGATTTTATCGCGTTAATTTTAACTTTTTAACTCCCGACATTTTGGGTGTTTTACAGCACCTATGGTTACGGGGGGATGAGATGTTTGACATATCGAGCCCGGCTAATTTCAGTTTTTTTAATACATATTAAATTTTTGTCTCATCTACGCAGAATCTGCTTAATATATCTTGAAGTCTTGCAGTTGTATGCTTGGATTTGCATTTAATTTTATTAATTATAGGATCCCAAGCAAATGGTAGCGCCAAACCATCTTTCCTATTGAAATTAGGATATAATTTAGTTCATAAAAGGCTCGTGAATCATCTTAGGTAGGGATCGGTGTTCTTTTGCGAGGATTTGTGTCATTTGGGAAAAAAAAAAAGGAAAGAAAGTAAAAAAAAAAAAAGGAGTAAATATAAAATTTACCGCCGACCCCAGATAATGGGAAATGGTTTAGAGAATGATGATAATGGCGGGGATGATCTTGAATATGATCGCTGACTTCAGACTTCCCGAAACGTCGGTGCTTCAGGTGAGGTATGTTCTTATACGCGGGCGGATACAGGAGTGTAGGGATTGCAATAGAAGGTTTATTGTAAATGTAGTCGCTCGTACATAGTACAAACAAAAATATCTATAAGAGCCCGCGTATAAGAACATATACCTCACCGGAAGCACCGACGTTTCGGGAAGTTTTACGGATTTCAGGTCAGCGAACATATTCAAGATCATCCCCGCCATTATATTAGATTTAATAGACCACAAATCCTCGCAAAAGAACACCGATCCCTACCTAAGATGATTCACGAGCCATTTATGAACTAAATAACGTCCTAATTTCAATAGGGAAGATGGCTCGGCACTACCATTAGCTTGGGATTCAATAAATAATAAAATTAAATTCAAACTCAAATATACTACTGCAAGACTTTAAGATACTGTAAGCCCATTCTGCGTAGATCAGACCAAAAATTAATATTTAAAAAAATGAAGGTAACCGAGCTATGATATCGGGACGTCAAATAACTCTCCCTATGACCATGGGTGTTCTAATTCACCCGAAACGTCGGGAATTAAAAAGTTAAATTAAACGCGATAAAATCCGTAAAAATTAGTTTCATTTCATGCTCTACTATACACAATGAACAAGAAAATGAAACATATTTGATATATAACAGCTAATAAGTTTATGTGAATTTGCAGACACAATAAAACATCAGCCATTTATCAATGATACTAAATTAAAAAAACACATCAGTAAACCTTCAAATGAAACAAATTCCCTCTCGGATAACAAAGAAAACAAAACTGTTGTGAAAAGATGCGCAGGAGACAGTAATCTCCTTTTCTGGAACGATATATACGATGATGAATACGGTGTGAAAATAGACTATTTGGATAGCGAAATGAGGAATAAGCATTCTGCTGATGGTAACAATTTCGTTAAACGTTCAGGACAGTGGATTAATAAGAAGTTTAAGAAATTTGGTGATAGTATTCGTACTGGTTACAATTCTGGAAAATATTGGAGGAGGAGAACAACAAAGAAGAGATCTTTTCGTAGCATCAAAGATTACAGGTGTTTTCTTTACTAAAAATACAAAAAAAATACGATTTTAGATGAGTTAACTTGTGAACTTGGCGAGTTAAGTAGAAAGTCTCTTTTGAACGGCAATTAGTGAGTTAAGTAGCAAGTTAACAATTAAGTTGAACGAGATAGCAGACCGGTCTATTTTTTGGCGAGTTTAATGCGAATTGTTTGGAATTGTTGCCCTCCCGCGCGTCTCACGCCACCCGAAACTAAACTCGCCGCTCATATGAACGAGCAAGTTTAGTTCAGTGCTTAAGTTGCACAGTGCAACGTGTTCGTGTTCGACCCTCAAAATAGAAAATTGTGCTTAACTATACTCGCCACGAAAACATTTGAATATTTGAGCTACTGTCCACTCAACCGTTTACTGTCAACTGCCCTGTAACAAAACTCGCTACTGTACTGGTCGAAGTGTAAATCGCTCTTAAAGTACATTAATTGTTAACTAACACACGCCTTATTTCCTATTACTTTACTATTTCCAACTCTAAGACTGGTACACAAATGACAAATTTTGATATATATTTTTATATACTTGTAGATCGGACAACTATTTCGAAACTAATCGAAATAGATTATTTGGGAAGAAAACAACAGAAGAGGTAAATATAACACACTATTGCAGTAAAAATACAATTATTCACTTTACAAAAGAATAGGTTTAAAAATCTTATGCTTTTTAGGAGGGGGAAATTGATAAAACAAATGACTTTGCTGTTTTGAGAGCCAACATGAAACAAATTTGCCAAGAGGCGATAAAAGCTGTAGAGAAAACAAAAAATATAAAAGGTTATATTTATCTTTTATTAACTTGTTTTATATCCCTTCTAGGAAAGACCATTCTACTGAAGATATAAGAGCCTCGATGCAAATGGCTACTAAGTTTGTAAGTTGTATATGGACTTATAACGTCATAGCATGCTCTGGTAGCAAATCCATATACGAATTATTTGTGGTGTTATTCTTCATCTTTATCAGCCTGTAAAAGTAAATTTAGTACATGATCCTCTCCCGTTGTAAAGAGAATTTGCCTGCAAGGGGATTGTTGATCACAATATCATATATGTTGCCACTTTGCGCTGCTCTCGTCGCTACTCCGAGCATTTTACCTAGTGTTACGTTTTAATTTGATTTCAATAAAACAACAAATAAGAATTTAAAAAAAACAATTTATTTATTAACTCACTTCCGGTTACGGTCGTCGGTTTAGTATGATTGAATTTTAATCTAATTGCCTTCGCAACAGTACTCTGCTGCGCTCTACTTAGTCTGCCTCTTCTTACTGCCATGCATCCAATATTCAAATGATAGGAACTTAGATATTGACAGCTGCCGTCCTGTGAACTCAACGGTCTCCCGTTCCTTGGTCACAAAATCAGTCCGGAGGGAGTTCCTGAAGATGTGCATTCCAAACATTAGTACGAATATACATTACAGAAATATTTGTGTACCGCTATCAGTAACATTTGTTCAATTGTGCAGAGCAGAGCTAATATATGAAGACTTACAAATACGGGTAGAAGCATGTAAATCACATTCCCTGGGATCATATGATATGCAGCAGGATTTAACCTTTAACCGCACGGGTGGGGTCTGGCCAGACCCCACGCGCTGTTTTTAACGGTAATTTTTGACATTGACAAGTAACGGTCGCGCGCTTTCGGCTATCTCAGTGCGCCGCAGAATCTCTCGACGGGTGGACGTACATCGCGCTTTCGCTGAGGTAAATACGTATGTTACCTACTTGGGGATCCCTGTAGCTTTTATGTACTATAAATTTCCAATGTGGTTATTTTTATTCTTGCTTCTTTTTCAGAGTTCGAGATCTAAAACAAAAAAAAATGAGTCGTCAACTCTCAGAAAATGCCATAGCACAAATCCTAGAGGATTGCAGTGACTCTGAAAGCGAAGAAAAACAATAAATTTCAGAAGATGAGGTTAACATAAGCGATCAGGAAACTATATACAGTGAACATGATTCTGTGTCCGAAATAGAGCAAAGTGACGACTTTTCCGCGAGTGAATCTGAAGAGGAAACAATGAGAAATTATTTCTAAGGTAAAAACAGATACAAATGGAGCAAGACACCTCCACATCTGTCTCGTATTCGACAGCACAACATCATCGAAGGGCGCGCTTGTTTGAAAGGACCTGCTCTTAGTAAAAACGTAATGTCACCATTAGAAACTTGGGAACTTTTGATTACCTATGACATTACCCGAGATATAGTATTGCATACTAATCAAAAACTAGAAGCTAAATATATTTCACCATTGGTGCGGCCCTACTATGCCAAAAACATTGATAGTTGTGAGTTACGAGCTTACTTTGGATTACTTTTATTTTCCGCCATTTTTAAGTCAAATCACGAAGACGTTCGATCTTTATGGGCAACGAACTTCACAGACAGAGATATATTTCGTGTCGTAATGGGTTTAAACCGATTTTTATCCATTCATTATAACGTTCGATGACTGTAATACACAGGAACAAAGAAAAACAACAGACAAGTTAGCCTTGATAAGTGAAATATTCGATAAATTCATCCGTAACTGTCGTGAAAATTATTCTTGCACAGAATTTTTATGTGTTGATGAAATATTGGTGAAATTTCGAGGTAGATGCTCGTTCAGGATGTTTATCAAAAGCAAGCCCGGAAAGTACAGATTGAAAGTGCAATGTTTGTGTGACGCAATATCTCGATACCTGTACAATGCAGGAAAACCTCTAACCAAAAAAAAGCCAAAGCACTAACCTTGTATGATCAAACAAAAACATCACTGGGGATAGTTGGTTTACTTCTGTCGAGTTGGTGGATATTCCCTTACAAAAAGGGCTAACATACAACACGTACGAATTAACTTGAGACTCCGCTGGAATGCGACCCCCTTCCCGACTCCCCGCACGGCGTCCCGCGCTGGCCGTGCGCGCTCAGTACCGATAGCATTTTTGTTACGGATACGCGTCTCGACTATAGTTTGATATTTTTGATACGTATTGTGTACGAATCTGTAACACTTTTTATAGTGCAATAAAGTAAATATTATAAATGAGAAAGTGTGTATGTTTATTACTTTGTCCTTCCTTGACGCGTTAATTAAAAATAATATTATATATATTATAAAAAAATAAATATTTAAAATATATAAAAATGGCAACAGTATATCACTTATTACTTCACCCCTTGCCAGAACATTTTATTTTGTTTTTATTAATAATCTCATGCAAATCTCAAAAATTTCAAATAAAAAAATATTACGACGCATTATTTTGCACACCGTACATTGACAATTACGTCATCGGCCCAGGTCTCAAGTTAATTCGTACGAGTTAACTTGAGACCTGGCTTATATGTTGGCACACTGCGGAAAAACAAGAGGGAAATTCCACAAGAATTTCTAACTAACAAGACAAGGCCCGTGGAATCATCATTATTCGGATTTGTAAGTGACCAAACATTGGTATCAAACGTACCAAAAAAAAACAAGAGCGTAGTTCTACTTTCTTCTATGCACCATGACATGTCAGTAAACGAGCAGTCTAAAAAGCCAGAAATAATAGAAATGTATAACAGCACCAAAGAAGGTGTAGATGCCTTGGATCTGTAGTGTTCAAATTATTCATGTGAACGTCAAGCACGAAGATGGCCTAACGCAATATTTGGTGCTATAATGAACATTTCAATTGCAAATGGTTATGTTCTCTGGGTTCTATCTAATCCGAATAAAAAATTGAGGCGTCGTAACTATATAAAGTCTATTGCAATGACTCTTATAAAGCCACATATTTCCCAAAGATGGGAAAATAATCCTACCTTGACCAAAGATATAAAAGCAATAATGTGCGAGTTGATTGACAAAGAGAATCCTTTGGCTGATTCCAATGAACCTGGCCCTAGTGCCCCAAAAATGAAGCGTAGATGCCCAAGGGCAAAAGACAAAAAGAGTACTATTGTTTGCAAATATTGCAAAAAAACTATATGTAAGCCTCATTCAATAGCAATTACTTACTGTTTACCATGCCATCGCAATGATTAATTTTTAACGTTACTGCTCCATAGCAATATTGAGGCGTTGTCATTTTTTTTCTTTATATGTTTATTTTTAATTTTTGTACTAATTTGTTTTTGGTTCCTATATTATAGAAAAATAATAAGTTTCTCAAAAGTTGATTATTTTGTAAAATTTTAGCGTATTTGTTAAGTGCATTAAAAAAATTCTAAGTACGAGTGGTTAATTTTTAATTGTTTCTCATTGTCAATAGACTGACTTTTTTAAGAATAATAAATATTTTTTAATTAACAATAATATGCCTTTTCTTATAATCTTAAATCCAATTTAAAAAATCCGAAAATAAAAAAATATATGGAAAATATTTATGGGGATACTTCAGGACCCCGCCCGTGACGGAATGGTACAAAAAATAACGCTTGTAGCTAAATGTTAAGTTAAATAAATCAGTAACTGTAGTTAACTGATGACAGACAAAATTATAAATATTTTAATAGATAGCCATTTAATTAAATAAGCGATTTAAGCAGTGAACAATACGAAAAATAGTCACTGTGTATCAGTGGAGTTTAAATACCCTAAAATAGATTATTCTTCTGGCGGACAAATGTAATCGCTTATAAGCGTTAATAATATCATAGCTTTATTTATTATTTAACTTATTTATTTTACTTTATTTTATAGGCTTTAACTTAAATTTATATTATTTTTCCTTTTTTTATATTTAAGTCCCAACTAAATGAGAATACTACAAATTATTCCGAAATAATAATAGCAACTTGAATTACGAGTACTAGTAATCTAGTAGATATATACGGGAGATTATTTTACAAACTATACATTTACAATGAAAAATTTACGTTATGTTACAGCACTCTAAATATAGCTAGTGTATTACTACATAAATCATATTACAACTAAAAAAAATCTATTTCTACGTACCCATTTACAAAGGTATAAAAATAATTGTTAAATTACCCAGAAAGGGAGATATATATTTTTAGAGTAGGGAAATTGTTTAGAATTGACTATTAGTACACGAAGCTATGTTAAATATCTGACGATAAAATAAGACAAACAAAGCGAGACTGCTTGTGAACGAGGTGAGACGTCGGTGTTGCTCGTTGTTGACCATGACGTTCACATTAGTGATGTAACAGAATCGATTATCAATAATTGATTAATTGATCAGTGCAATAATCGTATCGGCACATCATTACTTCTCATGCCCAGTTATCGTTTAGCGCTGTGCTTGTCTCCTCCCCGTTACCCTTGGCCGCGTTACTTAACGGCTCCTACGCACCGATGACAAAACACTCAATAAAAGCCAATATTTTAATCATGATTTTTTTTATAAATAATAAAATATTAAAAATTTATACATGTTACACTAACGCGTTAACGAAATAATTATACCGCTGCATATCTGAAGCCATCGGTCATTCATATCTCATTATCTCTCCCAACAACACCCACGAGATGAAAAGGACATACGGTATCCGTGACGTTACTAAAAGAATAGAATATAATATTTTTAATCAATGTACACATAGAACAAGAATTCCTGTGGTAAGTTTTTTTTTACCTCGGAAAAACATCTGTCCTGGAAAGAACCAGCTAGAAATCCATCGATACAAATAATATAAATAGGTTTGGACGTTATTCAAGCCAACGGATTTAAGTTTTCAAACACTAGGCCACATAGTTATCAAGAAATAAGTGGGATATATAAACACTGAGCAATAACTAACGTTGTTTTTTCTATGCAATACAAACAAAAACAGTTCGAGAGGACCATCAAGGAGAAGTCGCAGCCACTTCACTAATGCAGCAACTTGTGAAGCTAATGAAAGATTTAGTAGATTTTCAAGTACAGCAGAAAACTTGTGCCAGTAAGTATTACATGTAGCGTGATTCTGTTTTTCTCATACATGATACACAAGCAAACAATACACCGGATGATAGAGAGCTACTGTAGCCCATGGACTGCTTCCATTGAAATCCCGTAACTAGCATAGAAATAGGCTTAAAGAATGTCATCACATCTGATGTATAAGATGGAATCCCTCGTGCCTTGTAAATAACTAGCACTTTAACCTTTCAAACTAGACCAAAACAGTGAAATTATTGCTACTTTGTGGCATTAATAGATAAGAACATAATTATCATTAGGTTTTGATTTTAATGACAGATGTCTTGTCCATATTAAGCGTGACAAATGCGCAGCGTATTAATGTCACATATCACAAATATTAATCCTTCTTAAAAACTTATTTTGGTTTTAGAATTACCACCGGATTTGGCTGACTTTTTGAAATGGCTTACATCTCCGTCGAATTCTGATGATTCCAATTATAACCAATTCAACACAGTCCAAGATGAATTTATAACGAGCAATGATAATTATCTTAAAAGCCCAGGTTAGTGTGGTTCTAGGCTATTAAATTTAGACAATTGAGCGTTATGCGAAATATAATTATAAGTTAAAAAATCAAGTCGTAAAATTAGATTTTTTTTCTAATCTTACATTCAGCAAATTTTGATTCCAAGTGGACATCAGTATTAAGTTATTGTGTATCGTATGTTAGGAAGATAGACTTAGTCCTCTTGGAAGACAGCAAATTCGGATTCCAAGTGAACTTCAGAATTAAGTTACTGTGTATCGTATGTTAGGAAGATAAACTTAGTCCTTTTGGATGACAGCGTATCCGCATTATTATTCGTAATTAATGAGGAATTTTGGCGTCTATGGTCCACAGCAATCCAATTTTAAGAATTAATAAAATACACTCTGCATCTGTAATGACTAACGGCATTATCACTCAATCATATAATGAAACATTATGCTAGAAACCTTATGTTTTTGTGACCATTAAAAATCAGGAATTTAAGATATAGTCAAGTCTCAAGCTCATGTTATACTAGGAAATATTTTAGCTTGGTATTTATGATCCATACAAATAATTCCAACTTTATACTTTAAATTAAGAGTATAGGATCAGGACTCCTCTGATAGGAATAAATAGAATAAAATAACATGGATATTTTATTTGTCAATTAATCTAATTTCGGATGTCGTTTTTAAACTTGAAAATTTCCTAATATACTAGATTAGTTTAGTATTCATTAAAGAACAGCAATGCTAATTTCATACCAAAATTAATATATATTTCTCCTTATTTATGGAACAACCAATAGATATTGCACCAAATTTTAATATACTTGCTGCAAATGAAATAAAAGAAGATCCCAGATCAGAATGTCTTGCCACTCTACATGCAGTACAGGATCTTTTGAACCAGTACGAAGATTTGAGTGATGAAGATAAGGTTTGTGGATTTCATATGAATTATTAAAATTAATAGAATGAGTCATGACTTTGCGGAAATCCATTTATTAAATTTTAATTAATTTTTGAGCAGTAATTATGCCGTCTTTCTTACCTTTAAAACCACGATACAATAGTTAATGCCTAATCCCGCAATTACTATTATATCTCAACGCAGACGAACTCGTAAGCAGAAAAGGGGACACAGTAAAAAATCTCATCAGCTAAGATTAAAATATTTGGTTCCAGATTAAGATGTCAGGTGTCAAAGAATACCTCGGAGACCAGATGGAGTTTCTTACGAAACAACTTAATGCGTATAACAAATATCACGTAAGTTTTACTTTTTCTCCGATAATAACGGAGCTATAGCAAGTTAACAGTCCACTTTTGCCATATTTAGTTAAAATTTGCGTCATATGTTCTACACTAATCTATAACGCATACACCTTTACATCGCCGTCACCGGCATAATTGTCACTGTTATTTTCTCATAGCCAGCGTTGTTCTATTATCAACACTGTTAATCTGTATAGGGTTATAAAAGTTATCATGATGTATTGTGTGGTCATAAGTATCTGTCAGTTTTCTAATCACTAGAGATGCAACGCACTTCCCATCTTTTCACCAATCGAGGGCTGAATATTTGCGCCACTTACTGGAAGAGATATCTGATGAGACCCCGATTACACAGAATTGTTACAGGAAGCTGAAATTAGTGTGAAGTATTAGCTTTAGACTCACCATGCGATCTATCAGGCTTAGTGAATATGAAATTTACAAGTAACGTTTCCCCTTATTTATTTTAACTTAACTTCTACTTTAGTTAAAATAATTAAGGACTTCTGTATTTACTAAAATTTTCCAGTTAATACGGCCGTTATAAGACGTCCAGCAAACAAACATAACAAACACAAAAATTTATGAAAAATGTACAAATATAGTCGCAATCCTTCTTATATAGATCTTGACAACATTTTAAGTAGGTTTAATTTTAATGGAGGAAACCGGAAAAAAGGGATGAAGATTTTAATGATTTCTTAATGATTTCTTAAATTTACGCGAACACTACACATTGAATAAAACTATTATTTACGGATTTTATCGCGTTTAATTACTTTAATTTATTTTTATTATTATCCCGACGTTTCGGGTGCTTTACAGCGCCCATGGTCACGGGGGGGACTGAGATGTTTGACGTCCCAATGTCATAGTTAGTCCGGCTACCTTCAGTTTTTTAATATTAATTTTTGGTCCGATTTACGCAAAACGAGCTTATAGTATCATGAAGTCTTGCAGTGGTATGCTTGGGTTTGGGTTTAATTTTGTTGATTATAGGATCCCAAGCAGATGGTAGCACCCAACCATCTTCTCTATTGAAATTTGGATGTTTTTTAATTTCAATAGCCTCGCGTATCATCCTTGGTAGGAATCGGTGTTCTTTTGCGAGAATTTGTGGTTTATCAAATCTAATGTAATGGTGGGGACGATCTTGAACATGTTCGCAGACTGCAGACTTCCCGGAGCGTCGGTGCTTCACATCAGCTATATGTTCCTTCACGCGGGTTTTTATAGATCTCTTTGTTTGACCTATGTAAGAGAGACCACATTCACAATCTAGCTTGTACACACCTGCATCTTGTAGAGGAATATTACATTTGATGGATGGTAAAAATTGACTAATCTTCTTCAGCGGCTTGTAGTATGTCTTAATGGACGCTCGCTTCAAGATGTAGCCAATCTTGTCCGTGACTCCTCCTACATATGGTAGTAGAGCAGGTGCGCGCTCGACTGTTGCCGGCTTCACTCGTTCACTGTGACCATGGGCGCTGTAAAGCACCCGAAACGTCGGGATAATAATAAAAATAAATTAAAGTAATTAAACGCGATAAAATCCGTAAATAATAGTTTTATTCAAGATGAAGATTTTGTCAATTTTTCATAGTTATATTCAGTCCGAGCTGCAATTGTCTCTCTCGGTTGTCTTCGGTCATTCGGGCATAGCGCAATAACAAGGAATCTGCTGTCTCATGAAAGTTACACTTTAAAAAAATGCACTAACTATAGCAGGGCGTGCGATAAGCGCTCGTCCAAAAACTTATATGAAAGAGTAAAGTTCAATTTATCTTCATCGTTCGATCATTAAAGCTTATCAAAAATCCATTGATGAACACTGGAAACACAGGCCTCCCCATAGATAGCCTCATAGAAAGGATGTTTGCTAAAGTTGTCACGCTTGGCAGGCAAGTTGGCAACCGCAGTTTTTTTCTTATTTTGAGAACTTAATGGGAAAAGGTTACCCAACTCTTGATACAGGTTGCTAGTATTGCCATTTACAACACTCACGGGTTGATATAGAAGATATAGTATGTAAGATATGATAGTGAATTCTCTAAAACTGTTTCTATATAGCAAATCGATTAGATTTACATTAGTGTTGATGAAAGTTTAATACGGAATCTCTCTATTTTTAACAGATGCCAACGTTTTACGGAAAAAGAAGCGTGTCAGTTCGTGACAAACGTAATCTCACCCAAAAGAAGGACCGCAATAAAACACGAGCACAAAATAGACAAATGCTTTCGAAAAATAGAATCACCAAATTTGTAAGGAAATCAGGCATCAAGCACACGAAAACAACTGCTAGTAGCATCGAAGCTATTAATACTAGTGAAGGTGTAAGAAGAAAAAAGAATATTAGCAATGACGCGGTCAATACCACTGATGTTAAAGCAAGCGTTCTCAATCATGGAGCCAAAAGTTCATCGAAAAGCAATAAACCACAATCAAGAACTTGACACTAGTCAATTGATATACTTTTAAGAGATGAACAAACAAACATTTCTATAGAGTAATATTAAAATATCGTGTAATGACGTCATAGTTTTCATAGTCAAATAAAAGTCCAATTTTGATATTCTTCAATACATACATGCTTAAAATTTTTATTCAATTCAAATTGTAAAATCGATAAAGTGTTAAAATATTACTAAAATAGCAATTTCGAATAAAAATAACTTGACTGCTGTTAACTATCCAAAGAGTAGATTTCGTTGACTTGAAATGGCGTAGTGTTTTAGATTTTGACTTAATAACTGAGACTAGTTAGTCTAGTTGTAGTTGTAGTAGTTTCGAAGAACTAGTCTCAAATGTGATAGCTGTAATATGAAATAAAGTACACGCTAGAAAAAATAAAGAAGATTTTGGTCTTTTTGACGAATGTGGGTCTCTAATAAGAGATCATAATTACAATACGCTGTGATAGGATGTTTTGGTGATTTGAGCTTAGTAGGTGGGTTGATAATATCACAACAGTGTATAGTAATTACTGAAGCAATACAACAATTTAATAATGAACCAGATTAGCCTTATAAAGAACGGATGGAGACTGGTGGAGTTTGTAATTTTCATCAAAAATTCTCGATGAATAATTTGATACAACGAGAAACGCTGAGAGGCTACGATCTGTTTTTAGACCAAACTTTACACGAACATGACAGTACAGACAAAGGTAACGTAGGTACCTATATAAAATTTAAAACTAATATGCAAGCTACCATGTAAACTTTGTACTTCGAATTTCTTTTATATATTCATGAAACTGAACGGAAAATTGTTTCACATCTACTTTTCGCAAATTTTTAATTACTATCAGCAGGTGCTTACACTATACAGTGACCAACACATTATGATATTTATAATACATGCTCAGCAAGAATAATACCCCGTTCACACGATTTCTTGTAAAATTTGTATAAACTATTATATTAAAACTAAATTTACTAAAATTCTTAATAAAGCTTTAAGACTTGTTGTAAATTGTGACTTAAGATAGGTAGCACAGTTTTATTACTAATGATATATTTATATAATTAGCAGTATACAAATGTTTATGATAGGATTTACTTTGAATGTATTAAAATATAATTTTTTCGCGAATGTGTATTATTACAAATTTTCTTATTTACTTTGCATGTCTTTCCGGTTTCAAGTTCGTAATTAATTTTCGAATCACTTGCTGACATCTGATTTAGATGCAATTTAGCATATTTATTTAGCTTTGATAATAAAGTAATAATATAGTACCAGCTAATTTGATGATGGATTAAGTTGCTAACTCTAGCAACGCCTATAAAAACTTAATTTTGAAAATTTTTATATTGTATTACTTTCTTTAGTTTTACATTACATTTTGCACGTTCACCGCAAGGTTAAGTTCTCTTCTCGTTATTTTTTATAAAACAAGTGATAAATTAACATACAGCTTAATAATGGTAAATTAACATACAGCTTAATAATGATAAATTAACATACAGCTTAATAATGATAAATTAACATACAGCTTAATAATGATAAATTAACATACAGCTTAATAATGATAAATTAACATACAGCTTAATAATGATAAATTAACATACAGCTTAATAATGATAAATTAACATACAGCTTAATAATGGTAAATTTCTAATGCAGCCACTAACACCTTAAACCAATTTTAAACAAAAAAGGCTACAGATGCCTTGTATTGTATGTATATATTGTATGCATACCTCTGAGGACTAAGATACAATGCCTCGCAGCCTGTAATTATACTGGCACTTAACCCTTCAGAACTCAAACAACAGTATACTAAATACTATTTGATAGCGGAAATAGAAAAGATGGTGTTACCAACCCAGACACATAATTAGGCAGAATAAGAGTCTCACCATCTAGTAACACTGAGAATTAGGGTTAAGGAAAGTGCCGTGCAGCATTTTTATACGTGGTAGAGCCACGCTGCAGCTATATTATGGTTTAGCACGAATGGGTTAGCTTGACCGGGGAAGGACTACGCTCTCCCAGAATACCAGCGTAAAATAGCAGCTTAATGCTGCTGAGACCCTTTTTACTGGAAACGAAGCATTCCATCTTATTCCTCAGAGGTGATAACGCATCTGCGTTTTGATTCTTAATCGTTGATAACTGTAGATGTCTATGGGCGACAGCATCTACTTACCATCAGGTAGACTGTGTGCACTTGTCACCCTTATTCTTTACAAAAGTGATCAAACTTTGTTTCGCATACTATGAAATTTTAAGGCAATTTATTTTTCACATCGGTGAAGTAAATATATCATAGGGGAAACTTGTATATTCCAAGAAATTAAAAAAAAAATTCAAGGACTATTGTAGCCTGTCAGGATGCAATGAGACAGTGTATTTTGTGGCCCAAAACCCTTTTTAAATGAGAAAAGATCTATGCATCTGGGACACTTCTTATATCTTTTGTATGTTGAGTCGTATAGTATAACAGATTTACTTTAACAAGAAAAACATAGGTACAACGCTTTTATTAGATTAGTCTGTACATATGTAAAAGCATAGTTAATGTAATGTTCACCTACTTTAGGAAAATCACAGACTATATATGTACCACTTCAGGGCAAAGGCTGTCTCTCATTTTTGAGAGGGTCTTAAAAGAACTTCTTTGTCTTCAAATTAGTATGTTTTTAATCTCATATATGCAGCATTACTTAATTTTACATTTTTTGTTGCTTTTCCAACGGTATTTTTTTTACAATTCGACAATTACCGTTACTGTCAGAGTCTATTACAAGTCCACTGCTAAACGTGGCCTCCCCATAAATTACCTCATAGGGGGATGCTTGCCATAGTTGCCAAGTTTGGGAGGCGGGTTCACAATCGCACTTATTTTATTTTTTAGTCATTATGCATACGCTGGTGCTCATGCGGTTTGTTTCCTCCTTTGACCGCTTACGACAGCCTCTATACAATATGGAGTAGTCGGCACTACACGGCATTCTAAAATTATGTCACGTTTTACAAATTTGTTGAAAAGTAAGTATTAGATAGGACCCCGGACTGACTAACAATTCATAAGCCACAATAACAATTCATAAGCCATTTTGGTCGGCTCGACCGAGGAAGGACGACGCTATCACAGAATACCAGCGTAAAGTAGCAGCTTAATGCTGCTGTGTATCGTATTATGAGTGTAGAGAACCGGAGGCCCGTTTTACTGGAATCGAGGCACTCCATCTTAGTCCTCAAGGGTGACAACGCATCTGCATTTTGATTCTTAATCAAGGTTAAAAGTAGATTTCTATGGGCCACCGCATCCACTTACCACCAGGTGGACTGCGTGCTCGTTTGTCACACTTATCTTATTAAAAAAAAACCTATTTCGTGTTAAATAAACAGGATCATGAAAAATATATCCTTCCGTGTATATTATTTATAACCGTTTAAGACGTTACATACTTAATATTACAGGTCGTGCCTGCATTTTATTGCTCGTTCCCAGTTCAGACGGCCGGCTGAAATATTTAGTTGTAATAGCGAATGCTTTTACGGTATTGCATGCACTTTATTGCATCTAGGGACGACGTTATAATAACTATTGTACGTGGCGATACAGTTGCAGCGTTATAATTGCGTCTGGTAGCGAGTTAATATTCGCACTAAACCTTTTTCGTTTTCAATTTTTTTTTAATAAGGGTCGAAAATCGACTACACGGTCCACCTATCCATCGATCCATTACAACAAATAAAAGCCCACTGCGGAACATAGGCCACCTCCATTGATTGCCTTATAGGGGGGATTTTGTCTTAGTTGCCACGCTCGGCGGGTTGGCAAATGTAGTATTTTTTTTATTTTTCACAATAATAGTCGTTATCAGGGTGAGGCTGCTGCCCATTTCTTTAGATCTCGCTAAAACTCAAAAACGGCTCGACCAATTTTGTTAATTTCTTTTATGTGTGTTTAAATGGATCTCTAGATGGTTTGGATTCACATTTGGATCTGGTAGATAGCGCTATTGACGGGATCCCGAAAACACCTTTTATTACATGGTATAGCCATACTGCGGCTGTATTAGTAGTTGTAGCACGAATGGGTTGGTTTGGCCGGGGAAGGACGCTCTCACACGCTTAACGCTGCTGTGTTTCATATGGTAGAGAACTGAAGACCAATTTTACTGGAAACGAGGCATTCCATCTTAGTCCTCACGGGTGACAACACATCTGCATTTTAATCGTAATCGAGGATAGATGTAGATGTCTATGGGTCACAGTAACAACTTACCATCAGGTGAACTGTGTGCTCGTTTGTCACCCTATCCTATAATAGAACACCCGTGTGAAGCCGGAACAGATGGCTAAATAAATTATATAGCAGATAAATAAATCATACAAATTTAAGCTACAAATATTACTTACACATACACAACCGAAAGTATAATTATTAATTATAATAATATAGATATAATTAGTACATACGTATTACAACAAATCTGTAGAATCAATCCACAAAATATTTCATTAATGTACTCAAAAATAATCTTTAATAAGCCTTACATTTAAGGTATATATTTTAAATTTTTTATTTTGTTAAAACGCTTTTGGTTTTTATAAATAAAATAAGAACTGATGAAGAAGAATAGAGTTCCTCGTTCGATAAATATTCTCGCCCTTGTCTCAAGTGCAATAACTTAACCTGTGTAAAAGGGACAGTGAATAATAATATAACTATCGCCTGTGCATCATTTTTCGGTCGCTTCATTATATTTTTACCGTCTTTCACAATTAACCGGGGAAAAAAAATGAGTGTTTCAAGAACGCCACCAAGTGGATGTTATTCATCACAGCCAGATTTATCCAAAATACACGATGATGTTCCTACTAATATTGTTCAAAGGAAACGAAAATCACCAGATTGTCACTGTAACTATCAAGAAATACTGTCTGACTTTCAAAATAAAATAATGAGTTCTTTTCAGTCTGTTCTTGAAAGCCAAAACAAAAAAATAAATAGCACTTTGAACGCATTACGCGATGACCTGTCTATATTTAGACAAGAAATACGTGAAATAAATGTCACTATTCAAAAACTATCGGAGGAGCAATCGTCAATCAAAAAAGAAGTCCACCAGTTAATATCAAATAATAATATTAATAGTCACAAGATAAAATCAATCATGAATTATGCTGAAGAATCGCGATCAATTATTAATAATCTTTCTCAACAACTTCGCTTGAAGGAGCAGCAGGGAAGAATAAATAACTTGGAAGTATCTGGGATACCTACCGTGAAAGGAGAGAATCTGATGAGTATTGTCCATAACATAGCAAATAAGATTGGGTTTTCTTTAGCTTCGACAGATATTGATAGCATACACCGCGTGCAGCGTTTTATTCCGAAAAATAAAAAGGACGCAGCTTCGTACAATGGTCAATCCTCACGCGATTTATCTACAATACCCAATATCATCGTGAGATTCACGCAAAGACAACGTAAGAGAGAAATGCTTGCTGCTGTGCGTGCCCGGAGAGGTTTAACCACCGCTGATGCTGGATTGGACGGCCCATCTAAACCAATCTTCATAAGTGATCATTTAACACCGGATAACAAACTTTTATATAAGCAAGCTCGGCTTCTCGTCAAAGAAAATAATTACAAGTATATTTGGTTGTCCGAATGTAAGATTATGGTACGTAAAAACGACACTTCTAAAGCCTTACTAGTATCTTGCGAAGCCGATCTTACGAAAATAAAATGACTACATTTCTTTCCATCTATCGCCCCACTTTTATTATGTTATTATCCCTTTAAAAATAGTTTAAGGTTTATGAGTACGAAAAGAACTTTTGTCATTAATCCTAAGTGTTTGTATTTATTGCTACATAATTTTTGTGTTGGTGGAACTCTAATAAATATCATAATAAAAATACTATACTATAAAATACGATAACATTAACCTTTCTATTTACTATCAAAACGTGAGGGGACTACGCACTAAATCGCACTCTTTTTTAGAAGCTGTTATTTGTAATAACTACGATGTAATATGTGTAACAGAATCTTGGCTTAATGATAATTTTCATAACTGTGAGTTCTTTGATAGCCGGTACGAGATATATCGATGCGATCGTAACTCAACTGCTAGCGTACACGGGCGCGGAGGTGGAGTAATAATAGCGGTGAGCCGCGATCTTTGCGCAACGCACCGAACTGACATGCGCGCGCCACCGCCCGCCGAAGAAGTATGGGTGACGGTGACGGTGCCGCTTCACACTCACTCTTGTCCCACCACCTTAACTCCTCGCTCCGATAACGCATCTCGCTCCTTGCACATAATATCAACGTATATTGCGCACGGTAATAATCACGAATCGTTGTTGAGTTGTTTTTACGATAGAGTTAGTGACTTTATAATTCGTAATTCTGATGATGTATTTCTCGTACTCGGCGACTTCAACATAAGTCATGCTCATTGGTCTTACAACACATGTACTAATTCCTTAGATATACATACAAATAACGATAGCTTAGCTTGTCTTACAGCTGACTTTATGAGTTTATCCCTATTATCGCAACACAATAATCAACTTAACGTAAACGGCAGGCTCTTAGATTTAGTTTTTAGTAATAAAACTTGTCAAGTATCATCTTGCAAACTTCCACTTGTTACAGAGGACCCTCATCATAAGGCTGCCTGTCCACCGGTGCGGTGCGAGGCCGCGGAGCGGAGAAACGGAGAAATTTTAACCAATAGGATTGCACAAAATCTCCGCTCCTCTTCAGTGGACAGGGAGTTGCGAACTAGTTTAAAAATTCTTACAAAATCGGTAAGCGGAGCGGGGAAGCTGTACAATTTTTAAATTGCCATAGCTCATCAAAATCTTTTGTGATTTCTTTCCAGTCGTTTTCTGTTGGTTGCGACATGACAGTAGGTTGCAATACATTCCATAAAGCATCACAAACCTCGTCAACAATTCTTGATACACTTTTCAATCCAATTCTAAAATTCTCTCCCAACGTTGTAAATGACTGGCCGGTTGCTAAATACCTAAAAAAAATCTGTTTAGTTAATAAAACAATTTTTTTTCATAAATAGACCATATCATATATTTTTGATTTTGTTGATTGTTTCAGTTAAAACTGCCAAGTCGCGATGGAAACAACTAAGAAATAACGATCGGGATGCCTTAAAAGACAAAATGCAACAAGGAGTGGACAGGCTAGAAAACAACGAAAGGAATGGAAATATCAGAAAGCAATGTCATTTTTATTGCCTTACATGAGTAATAGAGACCGGCCAACAAATTTTGCGCCACTGAACGACTCAGTAATGGAAACTTCAAATTCGCCAAATACCATTGAAGAGAGTTCAAGGGAATCATACAGTCTTTTACAATCAAATTCAAATAATCTTCCTTCTATCGATGATCCTAATGATTCAACAGCTTCTGGGCCTCACCCATCCATATCCAAAAAAAGAAAAAACGATGAAATTCTGGAACTTTTAAAAAAAAATCAGGAACGCCGCGAACTGTTGGCACGAGAACGGATAGAAGTTAAAAACATGATGTTAGCTAGTGATAAGTACGATGATATAGATTTATTTTTTTTAAATTTGGCTGCATCGACAAAAAAAACTACCGTATTACTTACAACTTCAAATTAAAAAAACCTGCTTTAATGCGGTAATGTCAGCTGAAGAAAGTAATCTTCAGCATAGTTGGTATTCTCCGAATAATTATGGTTATTCTACAGGCTCAACACCTACACCAGATAATATCAATACTAGTATCGATACTCCTAGTGCTCCAAATGATATCAACACTAGTATCGATACTCCTAGTGCTCCAAATGATAGCAACACTAGTATCGATACTCCTAGTGCTCCAAATGATATCAACACTAGTATTAATATTCCTAGTGCTCTAGATATTATCAACACTAGTATAAATAATCCTAGCGCTTTACAAATTCAAACAACCCAGGATATTGAAACATCTGCAGCAGAGCCAACAGGACCCAATGAAAATGCGGACAACTTTGAGACAGATTATGATTTTTAAATTAATATAACATGGTGTCTACTGTATGAAAGAAATAAAAGTTACTTTGATTTCAAAATGTACTTACTTTAAACACACTGCTAATCTTTCACGGCTACTAATTGATATTCTGTAATTTGTGTCTTGTTTCCGAATATATGGTTCAATCAGGGAGTGAAGTTCATGAAAAGTAGATCTTGATACTCTATAAGAATTTTCGAAAATTTCTTCATCAGCAGTTTGGAAAAAAAGTAAAAAAATTCACTGTGTTCTGAACGATGTTCGATATCGTTTTTTATCCAAAATCTATGTTTCCTCACAGAATTGTTCAAATGGTATATGGGAAGTAATTCGGTTTCTTCTGACTCCAACTCTTCCTCAAGCAATGTAAGGTAATAATATATTAACTTTTTCGATAACATGTCTACTGTCACTGATATTTCGCGTACAACTAAACCAATAGCCCGCCGCCGGAAGCTCGAAATGACTCGTCGCGTACTCGCGGCCTAGCTCCGCATATTGAAAAACAGAGTCTGCAACTCCGCTCCGCATTACTTTCTCGCTCCGCTCCGCAGCCTCGCTCCGCTCCGGTGGACAGACACAGTACGCAACTACGCTCCGCATTACTCCGTCGCTCCGCTCCGCAGCCTCGCTCCGCTCCGGTGGACAGGCAGCCTAAGGCATTAGAAATTGATTTTAAACTAAGCTTTGCTCCTACACTCAACCCATGCAGAGGTACAAAAAAACAGTATCACAAAGCTGATTTCGTATCTATAAAAAAGGCCTTAAAATCTATTAACTGGGAAGAAAAATTTAGTTATATGACCGATGTGGAATGCATGACAAACTACTTTTATAATTCTTTAAATGATATTTTGAATAAATATGTTCCTGTTTGTAATTTCAATTGTAATTTAAAATACCCAGTGTGGTATACTAAGCCCCTTGTTAAATTATCGAAGGAAAAATGTAAATACCATAAAAAATGGAAGGTATACGGCAAAATGAGTGACTATCAAACATTTTCATAATTAAGAAGCAGATTTAAAAAAATGCTGCGTGACTGTTATAAAAAGTTTATTGAACTTTCCGAAAATAAAATAAAAACACATCCTAAGTTTTTATGGTCTTTTATAAAATCGAAAAATACCACTAGTGATTTTCCTGAAAAGATGTTGTACAAAGGTAAAATTATTTCTGGTGGTTTAGATATTTGTAATGCCTTCAATGAATATTTCCACTCCGTATTTACAACCGTCAGCAATGTTAGTCACCAAGATTACCTGAGTAATCAAAGTTCACATACAACTTTAGATATAAATTTAACTGATATAAGCTTTGACTTAGTTCTTAAAGAATTACAAAAAGTTAATATCAATAAAGGCGCGGGTTCAGATTTTATTCATCCTCTTCTTATTTCGAAATGTGCAAATGAACTCGCAGTGCCGGTAACATTAATTTTCCGCACATCTGTCAAAAGTGGAGTGTTCCCCAACATATGGAAATACTCTTTGATAACACCTATTCCAAAAAATAATAACAAAGACATAGTAACCGAGTATAGACCTATCTCGAAATTATGTGTATTGGGGAAGGTCCTTGAGAAAATTATTACCACTTACTTATCGCTCTCTGCTCGTCAATATATATCCCAACAACAACATGGATTTTTCAAGGGCAGAAGTGTTGATACGAATATGATAACTTTCACGGAATATTTACGAAGAGCCATGGATGACAATCTACAAGTGGATGTCGTGTACACTGATTTCTCTAAAGCCTTTGACAAAATTAACCATAGTTTACTAATCGCAAAGCTCGCAAAGGCTGGTGTACATGGCAACCTTCTTAGATGGATTGAATCGTACATAAAAAATAGAAGTCAAGCTGTATGTATTAAGGGATTCACCTCAAAATTTCTACCTGTACCTTCAGGTGTTCCTCAAGGATCTCATCTTGGCCCGCTCCTGTTTTCCTTATATATTAACGACATTGGACTAACATTAAATGAGAGTCAACATCTTCTTTACGCTGATGATGCCAAAATATATAAAATTGTTAAGTCAAGAGACGACTGTCTCAAACTGCAACAAGATTTACTTGCTTTAGAAAAATATTGTGTTACTAATCAATTATATCTTAATACTAACAAATGTCATGTGCTATCTTTTTCACGTAAAGTCAACCAAATAAATTTTGAATATTGTTTGAATGGCATCATTCTAAAAAGGGTTACTACAACAAAAGATCTCGGCCTAATCGTAGACTCAAAATTATCTTTTAACTCTCATATAGACCATATTATAAGTAAAGCTTTTCAAAGTTTGAGTTTCATTTTAAGAATAACAAAACCATTTAATAAGGGTATAACTCTCAAACTGTTATACTTTTCTTTTGTACGTTCAATCCTTGATTATTGCAGCACGGCATGGAGCCCCTCTTATCAAATACATATTGAGAGGATAGAAAAAGTACAAAAAAAGTTTTTGAAATCCCTTAACTATCGTTACGGTATTGAGAACGAATCATATAATGAAGCTTTGTGCAGACACAAAATGCTAAGTCTTTTTAACAGACGCAAAATGTTTGACATTATTGTTTTATACAAAATTCTAAATTCATTTATAGATTCACCGACTCTTTTGTCTATGTTTTCACTTCCAGCAAGCGTTCGTCTTCCAGTGCGCTCCTCACGTTCGTTACCACTATTCATTCCTCCACGGTTTCATAAAAACTATACACGTAACTCTTATATATGTCGTTCCACCAACATGTATAACAAACATTTTTCAGAAATAGATCTTTTTAGCACTAGTCCTAATCTTCTTAAAACAAAGTTAAAAAAAGTTTTTGCAGTAAAATTTGTTGCCCGACTATGTTGTCTCACAATGTAAATAATATGATTTGTCAATGTATATTTATTGGCACTACTTGGTCTTTTTTTTTGTAAAGTGTAAATGTAAAATGTAAATTATATATTAAGAAATATGACTGTTTGCTGCCAAAATAAATGAAAAAAAAAATATCTCGTGTTATTTTTATTATGCATTCGTAGTCCTTCCCCTGTCGAGCCAACACCAACCTATACGCACAGCAGTTATAACACGCTACGGCGTTGGTTACTTCTCTCATCAATAACATCTTCTCTTTAAAAACGAGTACATAGACTTTTTCCGCAAAATCTTTTTTTTAAACAGCGTAAACGTTGAGCACAAAATACACCTTTTTTTTTTTGCGGACGGAAAATCATCTAATGACCCCTTTCGCTCTGGGTGGAGCGTAAGGGAGTGTCAGACTTTTACTGACTAAAAACCATCCGTGTTCCTTCAGTGCCCTTACGTTCCGGAGCCGCGGTATCTCTTTCGAACAGCCCGCAGCCTCGGCAGGCGTCGGCCCTTGCGGGCCCCTTCACGCTGCTGACAGCTCTTTGAGGCGCGCGTGGAACAAAACGCGCCGTCGACACGGCCTGTCGTCATTAGACGGACGGACGACGAGCTACCCATTGCTCGCCGTCCACAGGCCCGCGCCTACGTGGGCCGGCGGCCACGACGTAGCCCCCGACGCCCGGGGCGTCTCCTGCGGCGGCCGGGGAGGAAAGCTGCTGCTCTCTCCTTCTCCCGCTCCGCCACCTCCTTCGCTAGCATCACTGCTTCGCAGAAGGTGGTGACGGCATCCCATTCCGTCTCGCTCCGGACCATGGCTTCGACCAGGGCCGGACGCGAGAGGTCGCCGCCGCCTATAGCACAAAATACACCTGATGTTAATGGTAATTTGTCATACATCTTTCCTCAATTGATAATCAAAATATAAATATGTTGTCAACTTTGAGGTCTAAGATAGAATACCTCATTAACAGTAAAAAATTCAAAATTCAAAATGTTTATTCTGTAACAATAAATTTCCAATCATAGCAGTATATTAGAGTTCTCCTTTTAAGTATTTTTAAATACTTGTGACAGGAAGTACTCGCTCTTCCTTACTTAACGTACAATACTTTAGTTACAAGAATAGCATAGGAAAAAATATGAAGATGTGTGCGCGCGCACAGGGTCTCTACACTCACCATACTAAACATGACAGCATTAAGCTGCTATTTTAGCCCTAGTACTATGGAGTGTAGAAGTAAGGAGTACCAACTCCCATACGATAAAAGTTGAAAAAGTGTCCATCTGTAAGCAGTAAATAACAGTTCAAAAACTCACCACAATAGCGCTCGAGTAGCTAGAGGGTATGTTAAATCGCCGTAAAATCATTGACTTATACATTACTAGCGTAATGACCGGCCAGACCGAACAACTAAAACGGACCAGTGCGCTGGCCCTAAAATTACAGTTTAGGGCCAACGAGAATCGGTGGACAGTGGTGCGCGCGCAGGACAGATTTGCCTGTCATAAATATGTCTAGTTGCGTGGTAAAAGAATGCAAAAATTACGAAACAAAGATTTAAAAAAAAAACATGGGATATCGCATCATCGGTAAATAGCCTTATATTAATTTTATTACTACTAAATTATAATACAAACGCATTTTAAATGTTTTATTTTACTGTTAGTTTAGTTATGTTACCAAGATTAGGCCAGGGTTGGATTCAGACCCTCAAAAATATTGTAGATGGAAAATTAAATTATACTATTTTTAAAAAATTGTATCAAAATTGATTTTTCATGTTTCATTTTTCCCATGTGCCGGGATTTTGGCGTCACGCGTCTAGTTTATCTATACGTTTCGTTTTTTCACGGTTTTATTTTTATTTCTGTTTAACTTTTGTCTAAAAAACTATGTGTAAGTTAAATTTTGAATACTGGTACCTAATATATTTTATATTCAATAGGGGTGAAACAAAAAGAGTACAAAAGAAACCATATCTGCTTAATTGAATCTGAAAATCTGATTAATAAAATATTTTGAAATTCTGTTTTCAAATCGATTGCTTCTGCAGCATAGAGTTTTATCGTGGTAGCCCCTCATCATACTTGTATCAAGGATGCAACATAAATGCATCGATCGAGCATCGATTGACC